GAGACATTTAGAAGATAAGATTCTGAGATTAAAAAAGAAAAGAAACGTGTGCCATGGTGCCTGTTAGACTTTTATTTGTTTGCTGTTACCTTATGATTTAGATGAAAATGATCTATGACTTGCTTGGGTTCTTGGAAGCAATATTTATGCTGCATTTAATCAAGCTATCATTTCTCCATGGGATGTATATATATTTTAGGTAGCATATATTCTGCATTTCATTTTCATTGAGGAAAGTCTGAGTTTATTGATCCAGTGTTTTATGACCCCAAAGGCCCTTTCTTAACAGGATCTCACGTTTGCAATCTGTAATACAACAGACATTGTATCATAAAGTGTTAATGTGGGTGAGTAGTGACCCAGTCTCCAGGCTGTCTCCTGGTAACAGGCTTCTTTTTAATGTAGTATTAGCAGATACATTTTAAAAGTAGGATAGATGGTTCATTTAAGAGGGTTTTGTCATCAGTGTCTCTGGTATTCAAGTGAAGTAAATTAAGTTAATGGGAAGCTCTTTTATAGCCTGTCATGGAAAAAAAGTACGTAATTTCTGTCACAATTTGCATGTATGGAGCTGAAAGAACAAATGATTAGCAACATTTATTCTGTCATATTCTCATAAAGTCCCAGCTGATACAGTAGAGCAACTTGAATTTGATGTGAGATGACGGTAGCTGAAAAATACAAACTTTTTGACATGGGTTAGGGCCGTGTTAAGCAGGATATGGACACTGAGGTCCTCCAAGGGTCTGTGAAGTTTCACAGGGACTCAGTGACCTCTTCCCTCTGGCTTGCTGATTTGGGAGCTCACAAGCCAAGGAAAGCTGGTGGGTGGCGAATACCTTCACTTGCTGCTCCAGGTGGGAGGAGAGTTTTTGTAAAGGGCAGGAGCTGAATGCCCACTGTACACCTAGAGCTTCCGGAAGGTTCTCAAGCTGGTAAGGTACCGTGTTTATTCCCAGTGGAAAGGTTTCCACTTGCCAGCCTTACCAGGGTGTTTAGGCATCTGCTTTTGCAGAAGTGCTGTTTACCTGCTGCCTCAGGCTGTCTCCAGTGCCTCCTTACAGGTAGTGTTTACCACTAGTACCCACTGCTTTGTGTGCTTGAATTCCTGGTTTCGTCTTCTCTCCTGCCCTGTCACATGGTTCTTCCAGATCTACATTGTGGCTACTTAACAGAGAGAATTTTCTGGGCCTGGATTTGTGCTGGTGACATGAGAGTGGGTCTCAGCGCCCTTCTGTGGAGATAGATAGTTGCAGAATCATTTGACTAGAGGAACACAGGGAGCCCCAGTCCCCTTTGTAAGTGACGTGTGCATGCATATAGGCTTCTGTTCCCACCGGAGGGCCCGATACATCCTGAAAACTCAAGGTGTGGTTGGTGGCAGTCTCCTTTCTCTTTTTAAACTGAAGATTCTCCACTACACCAACCCACTAGTATGTCCACTTGAATTATTTAACCATGTCTGAACTTTTTGAAATTTTTTTCACTGAAATACATCAGTCTCTCCTGTACTTTGAATGGATCTTGTAGTATTATGCATGAATTGTTTAACAAACATTATCTGAGTTATATATATTTTCCAAATGTTGATATGTTTTCTTGTATGATACCAGAAAATCACATTCTTCACTGTTCCCACTGATCTCATCAGAAAAGTCTTTTAAGTGTTTGCTTGAAGTCCTGTATTTTATCACTTGGCAACAAGGACTGTAAGTTGTTTTCCTTGAAGTGACAGGCTTACTTCATTCATTTTCAAGAAGATATATGCTGTGTACATGGTTCTGAGTAACCAGAGTTTGTCTGTCATTCCTTCAAGTAGAATTGCATTACACTAGAAAGCATGGGGTTGAGCACAGAAATGCCCTTTTTTGGAAAGAGTGTTAAAAAGATACATTGTCAGGGTTGAAATTTAGCAAAATGAATACTTTTTATTGCTTCAGGAATATTTTTACAGGAAATTGGCTTTTTTCCCCAGCTGAGAAGGGTATATAGTGTGTTGTTCAGCAATGATGGGTACCCTTGGACTCCAGGACCTTGGTCTGCACTAAGGCATCATCATTGCTTTTGCACAGTGGAAAAGGCGTGTCATGTCTTGGTATTATTACTACCGTAGTTTTGACTTCATGGACTCACCTGATGGGGGGAATCTTTGGGGTCAGAGAACTTGGATGTGTAAGTAAGGCTGACTATGGAGTCACAGCCAGGTTGGAGCCTGGTGCTCCTGTTTAATATGCTGGCCATGGGACCCAAGTGAGCCACTTCACCTTTCTAAGCCCTTTTATTTTTACCTAGAAAATGGGCTTCGTTGATGGATTGTTGTGAGGATTAAATGGGAGAACCTGTACCTAGTACATAGTAGGTACTAGTAGGCACCAGTAAAGGTTATTTTCCTCTCTCCTTCTTGGGGCATTGTGAAGGTATTGGAGAAGGGACAGGAGAGGGATTGATGGGAGGGATGAAAAGGAATGACCTGGGTTGCCCTGGCACACTGAGAACCTAGGCAGAGTTCCAGACAGGTGCTCTTGATTGCATTTTCTTACTTGTCCTGCCTCTAGGAAGGTGAGGAGAATGGGAAGAGGAAGGAAGGGGCAGAGCTTCCTGTTTATCCCGAGATATGTTCTGTTCTCTAGACCCATCAGTCCTGTGTTTCATTTCAAGAACTAGCTTCTCTAAAAGTTAGCCTTGTCTGTGGATTGCTGTCATCTGAGCATCAGGGCTCTGTGTTCATCTTCAGAGCTCTCCAGAGTGGTGGACTAGGGGTGAGACCACAGTTGTTCACAGCCGGGAGAATGAATGCTCAAGGGTGAGGCAGTTTTCATGACTAAATCTGTACCCTCCTGAAAATCTAAGGGTAGCCTAGGTCAAAGTTCTCTTCCCAGACTGAAAAATGCCAGAGCATGATTTTTTCACAGCCATGCAAGACTTGAAATTCTTAAAACTCAATTGACTTTAATTTTAAAAAGTGAACAGTAATATAACTGTAGCTTCAATATTATATTCCAGCTCCAAAAAAGGCTGACAGTTCCCGTTCAAGAAAGATCACAGTGCATGCGAAGACACTGACTCTTTAGTTTATAGTGTTTGTCCTCCCTGTTGCAATCCTGGGGTTGGGAAAAAGAAAATAAAACCATGTTGGGAATTTAGCTTTCACAAGGGTCCACAGTTTTGACCTGCTGGTCTGTTCATTTATCCCTGAGATTAAGACTCAAGCCCAGGTAGGTAATGGTGTTCCAGATATGTCTACAGGAAAGTTCTTGCCAGCTCAGTGATGCCAGAGGTAGAGTTGAGTTTATAAAAGGTTTGAATCTAGAATTTACTTAGTTTTGTCCTGGAGAAGTCTCCCAGCAAGCCTTTTGTAGCTCAGAGCACTCAGATAGGTGTTGTAACTAGCAGAGCTATCTGGGTAACGATCATTTCAGTCCAGTGCATGACTGTTTTAATGGACTTCTCTGCCCTAGTATGGAAGAGACCCTGCATCCTTCAAACAGATGGGAGAAAGTAGTGTTTCTGTTCCCTGTCATTGATGGCTCCGTAAGCTGTTACCCGGGGGCTGGATGCCTGATAGAAACCCTGCTCATGGCTGTGGTCCGTGTGGTGGGAGGGGCTCTGGGCTGCAGTTGGAGTCACGAGGTCTTGGCTCTCTGTGCCAGTTTTGTTGCTTCCTAATGTTGTGACTTTGAGCCATTTCACTTTGTGGAGTCCCAGTCTTTATCTGTTAGACTAGTGCTACCTAGCCTTCACCTTCTTGCAGGGGATGACTGGTTGTACGACTTTAGAAAGGAAGTACCTGGGAAGCCCTAAGATGGGGTCTGAGGCAAGAAAATGCTGATGGAGCCTAGCAGTAAGGTGGTGGAAGCCCTGCTGATGGCCAGGATGGACTTGTGCTGTCAGAGGACAAGGTGTCTGGTATCTGTGGTAGCTGCGAGCATGGGCTCTCCAAGCAGACTGCCTGGGTTTGAGTCTTACTCCTCCACAGTGTGACCTTGAGCAGGTTACTTAACCTCTTTGTGCCTTGATTTTTTTTTCTGAAAAATAGATATAATAGCACCTCTCCCCCCATAACAGTGCCTGCCTCTTAAGGATTTCCAGATAATAATAGACCTAAAGTCCAGAGCCCAGTGTCTGGCACATGGAAATAGTCCACATTCACTGTTCTGTTTAAGGCCATGGTAGGCTTTTTCTACATGTGAAGTTATATTTCAGGGAACTTATGATGTGTGGTTTAGCCAAAGCCTTGTAGCAAATAATGTATTTTACAGCAGACGTCATTTAACAGAAGTAGCCCCTGGTTTACTCCAGGAAATAGACTGAAGGAAGCCAGTCGGGGTGTGAAGGCACCTCCCTCAGTGCAGTGGATTTGACTCATACCCAGGGCCCTCTGAGATCTCCAGGTTCTTAGGGAAGAAGAGAGGGTGTAGGCTGGTCTTGTTGTTTCCCCTGCTATATGAGTGTCCTGGTTGTGAAAAATTTCTACCATTCTATAGGCAAAATTGTATTTCAAGCATTACTTTGATTAGCTATATGGGAAATGAAGTGTAGAGAAGCTAAAATGGTTCCTTAAACATTCTGAAATGTCTTGGATTATTCTATTTTAGTTCCTGAAAAGATCACCTGGATATGTTTTCTTGAGCAACACAGGCAGATGATGTTTCTCCCCAGCTGGCCAATTCTGTAAGGCCTGCAGCAGATGTTTAGGGCAGATTCATGGTAGGAAGTGTCAGTGCACTGGGAACCAGAACACTGAGTCCTAAGCCCTCCTCCCACCTCTGCCCCTGCCTGTTGTCTGACTTCAGACAAGTCCTCGAACCTCTCTGGACCTTAGGTTGGTGACCTGCAAAATGGAGTAGCTGTCAGTCATCTCTCCTTGCTCACTTCCCCAGGGGCGTCCTGAGGCTGGAGAGAAGCTGGTCACCTGCTCTACAAGCACAGTGCGAGTCCTAGCATAGCAGATGCGCCGATAACCAAGCCTGACCCTCCTAATGCGCTATTTTCTTTCTCAGTGATGTTACAGCCTTTCGATTATGATCCCAATGAGAAAAGTAAACACAAGTTTATGGTTCAGTCTATGTTTGCTCCAACTGACACTTCTGATATGGAGGCAGTAGTAAGTACTGAATGCTTCTTATTTTTTTCGGTAATAATAATAAAAAAAAACCAATTAGGTATGGAATTGTGGGTGCATGCGTTTCAAAATGTGTCAAAATCATTTAAAGGGGAATGGTGTTTTCAAGGAAGTTTGCACTTTGACTACTTTCCTGAAACTTTGATTAATTTTAACATTTATACAAATTTCTAATATACTGTTCTTTTCTGACTTTTATAAACTCTATTTGCTTCAGCAGTTCCTTGCTCTGATGGATTGTATCTTGAAGGTTTGGGGATTTCTTCCCCTTTCCCTTCTCCCTTCTCCCCACAGAAAAGAGTGCTTTTCATTACAGGGACTGTTTCTTACCTTGTCATTCTCTTTTATTTTCTGGAACACAATATGTCACTTCATGTTAATTCATGTGGTCAAGGAAACATACAGCAGATACAAATGTGGAATATCCAAGAGTGTATTCGGTTTGGCTTTTGCTGCATGGCGTTAGTGAAAAGAGCATGGGCTTGGATGACCTGGTTTCAAAGCTGAGTTCTGTCTTTTACTAACACTGTGGCCTGGAGCAAGTTTCATGAACTCTCCTGAGGTTTTGGTCATCTGTAAAATGGGAATAAAAATGCAGTTGGCACGGTTGAGAGGATGTTGTGCCGTGCGTGAGGGCCTGGTCCAGTGTCAGATACTTTCCAGGCACTGCATGTACAGTAGAGGGTCATTTCACTTCCTTGTGTGATTATTACTATAACAGTTAAATTTTTGTACAAAATGTGCATTGTAGGAAATTTTAAAACATACAAATGACAAAAAATAAAACCCAAAGTGACTCGTAATTCTTTTATACTAGGTCCAACCACTGCTAATGAGAGCCTGTGCTTTTTCTTTATTTTTAAGTATTTTTCTTTTTCGTTTTATATCTAGAAAGTTGAAAAGAATAGCATAGTGGCCACTAACCTTCGCCTGGACTTACCGTTTGTTAACATGTTGCCACATATGCTTCCTCTGTGTCTTAAATTTTCTGAACCATTTGAATGTAAGACGCAGACTTTATGATACTTTACCCCTAAATACTTCAGAACAAGGACAGTATCTTAGTAGCCATGATACTACTAATCATAGCTGAGAAAATTAACAATTCAGTGTTACTTATTTATTTATTTACTTATCTGTTGGAATCTCACCGCTGTCATCAGGCTGGAGTGCAGTAGCATGCTCATGGCCACTGCAGCCTCGACCTACTGGGCTCAGGCAGTCCTTCCACCTCACCCTTCCAAGTAATTGGAACTATAGGCATGTGCCACCACACCTGGCTAATTTTTTCATTTATTGTAGAGATGAGGTCTCGCCAAGTTGCCCAGGCTGGTCTTGAACCCCTGAGCTTAGGCAATCCTCTCACCTCTGTCTCCCAAAGTGTTCAGATTACAGATGTGAGCCACCATGCCTGGCAAAAGAGTTCAGTATTATTATATAATATTATGTATATGAGTCCATGTGCATCACTTTCCAGTTCCAATGATGGTTTTTAGTTGTTCTTGTTTTAGTTGGGAGTCTCAACTATTTTTTTTCAGACTATGAATTTTTTAGAGTCCAGGCCAGTTGACTTGTAGAATGCCCAGTATTTTAGATTTGTCTGATTATTTCCTCAAGATTAAATTTGGATTAAATTTAGGTTTTGGTAATAATATTCCATAGTTTATATCCTGTATGCATCACAAAGAGGCATTTCATGCCGGTGACACTGTTTGATCTCTAACTAAGATGATGACTGCCAGTTGTTTCTAGTGTCAAAGCACATTTACCCCTGTGGTTAATAGGGAATCTGTGATACTCAGAATCATCTGATAGTTTGACACCACGTGAATGTCTCCTCGCCCGCAGTCTTGGGCCTGGTGGTTTTAACATCTGGTGGTGATCCTTGCCTGATGCTCTTTGACACACGTGCGTAGACACACATACACTCAGGCGTGTATGCAGAGGAGCAGACTTCAGTGTTGCTGCAGTTTCTTCACTTGATATTCTAGACTTTTCCCTATGTAATTGAATGCTCTTCAGTATCATTTGAGTGGCAGTGTGCTATTCCATTTAATGGATCTGCCATAATTTTTGTGGCAGTCTTCTAGTATCAGAAGTATAGACCGTTTCCCATTTTTGGTACCCCTGTTGTGCTAGCTGCCTCCTGCATGGAGGGGAGGGAAGGGGGCAGTGTCTTATTTTTCTGTATCATAACCTTGCTGCTGTGCTGGTCTGTAATTCTCAGAACACCCTGGAATTCCCATCCTCTGCTGCTAAAAGGAGGTGTAAACCAGGAACGTGTTCTCCTAGAACATGGGACTTAGCTAGGAAGGTGCTCTCACCACAGACTGGAGGAGTGGGGATGGGCCCTTGGGGTGGGGGTAGGCCCTTGGGACGGGGCAGCTTAGACGCAGCCAGGATGGCAGAGGAGGGCTTGCTAGTTAATGTGCTCCCTAGGTAGTTGGCACAGTGACTCTAAAACCGCTCCCAGATAGTTTGTGCTTATGCTTGCTGAGAAGGATATGTCTTTAAGTTTTATTTATTTTCTTTTTAAACTTTTTTTCTTTGTCATAGAGACATTCTTTGCTAAGGTTTTATTTTCTTAATGAGAGCCAAAGTTATCTCAGATTATCTAGACATGGTTTAGAGAATCCTCTTTGTTCAGTGGTGGGCCCCTCTGTTCCATATGCCTCCCACAGACTAGCAATATGAGGAGCAGTGACTTACTTTGAGGAGTCAGGCAGCAAGACTTCGGGGTTTGTGAAATGTAGTACATATTCAGGAAAGCTAGTGTATTTAATCTTGTCATGTTAAAAATATTGAAATCTCAGAGGACTTAAGTTTTTTTAATATACACGAGGGCTTTCTCATTAAGAATATTTTTCTGGAAATGTCAGTTATAGGAAGAAAATTATTTTTCTAGCAGCTTTATAATATCTTGATTTTTAAATTTTAATTGTTTTAGTGGAAGGAGGCAAAACCGGAAGACCTTATGGATTCAAAACTTAGATGCGTGTTTGAATTGCCAGCAGAGAATGATAAACCGGTAAGTATGTTTACAGTTAACAATAATTGAATGTTGCGAACTGATACTCATTTGCATACCATCTCCTGCAAAACCAAGATTTAAAGTTGGCAAATTATTTTCCTCCCTCTGATGTATGAAGAAAAAGAAATAAACTTAAGTCAACAAATAAGTGATCCTTTATGAAATCAACCTTTATGAAATCAACCTTTGAAGGATTTGTGGAAAGACAACTAATTGAAACCATTTTTTCCCCTTGAAAAGTGCAACCTGATGACTGTTGAGACGTCAGAAATCTCTAAGAGTTCCTTTGGTTTCCCAAAAGGTACAGGTTGTGGTAAAACAGTGGGTAAGAATAAAACAGAGAATAATTTGCCCTTTATCATGGCACTTGATGGACAGATGGGAAGTGCTCAGATTCTATTGTTTTGCCAGGTGCCGTCCCAGCATCCTTATCCCCTTTGCTCCACCGGCCTCTCCAATCAAATCTACTTTTATATGGGGATTTCTCAACCTCAGCACATTTTGGGCTGGATAGTTTTTTGGGGGATAGGGGTGCCCTGTGTACTGCAAGGTGTTTAGCAGCATCCCAGGTCTCTACCTACTAGATACCAGTAGTACTCCTCAGTTGTGACAACGAGACATTGTGTGTCCAGATATGCCCACATGTGTCCTGGAGGGCAGTATTGCCCCCCGCATTGAGAATTATCTGACTCCTGTGCTGCCTGGGAGGGGCAGAGCAGGAAGGACACCTTCCTCCAGGTGCCACTTTCTCTTTGTGTCAACCTGCAGTGGTCCTTACTTGTAACCTGTTGAAGAAAGAAGACTATCTGAAATGCTAATTTGGATTTCCCTTCAATTTAGTGAAAAAAAAATTAATTGTATTAAAAACAGTGAGAATTTAAAACACAAGCAGAGGCCGGGCTCAGTGGCTCAGCCTGTAATCCCAGCACTTTGGGAGGCCAAGGCGAGTGGATTGCTTGAGCCCACAGGTTCGAGACCAGCCCGGGCAATTTGGCGAGACCTCATCTCTACAATAAATCAAAAATTAGCCGGGCACAGTAGCATGCGCCTTTAGATCCGGCTCCTGGGAAGACTAAGGCAGAAGGATCACCAGAGCCCAGCAGGTCGACACTGGAGTGGCTGTGAGCATGCCACTTCACTCCAGCCTGGGTGACGGAGTGAGACCTCAACTCAAATAAATAAATGAATAAATAAATAAAAATAAATAAAACACATACAGAATATGAAACTACACTGGCTATTAATAGCTGGAGTGGTAAATAGGCTGTGAAGCATTCTGTTAACATTATCCATAATGATCTTCAGGAATGTCGTTGATTTGTATCAAAACTATATAGTATTTTCTTCCTGCTCAATAATTAATTGACCACTATCATTGTCCCATTCCTCTGAAAGGATGGTAGTCATTTTTTCCCTCTTCCCAGTGTACATTCTGTTATGGGAGGGTCTATTTGGAAGGTGTGAGATGTATATTCTGGCCCCAGGCTGAATCCTTGTTTTCCAGGGCTGTACTCTTATCTGGAAAGCGAAAGTAGAGCTAGATGCGTGGTTTTCAGTTTGCTGCCTAGAACCCCAGGGCAACAATCCCCTGTTACTCTTTTCCTGGGCACACTTGAGGGCTTCTGAGTGCTCCCTTTACTGATGGAACTCTCATACCCAGTAACTCTGAAGTAGGGGGTCAGCACAATCTTGCAGGAGAAATGAGGGGAGAATGTAGCTTCTCCAGATGGATGCTTTGCAGACACTGGGCTCGTTTTACCTTCATGCTGGCTTCTGAATTCTGAGTTTGTCAGGGATATTGTCCCCTGGGTAAATGCTCCCTGACCTCCCTCCCCCACCCAGCCTGTCCTGGGGATGTTCAGATCTTGGTGGTGACAGTAATTTGTGGCTAATAATTCCTGAACTTGCTCATTTCTGCATGGCAGGAATTTGAAAGGGCAGTATGCACAGTCCCTTTTCTCTCTTTCTCTGATGTATTAGTCTCAGCCAGACTTCATGATTTGCCCTTGTCCATAATTTCTAGGGTCCAGCTGCTTTAGATTACGAAGATACCAGATAAAGTGATCCACTTTAAAAATAAATGTGACATTTTACAGTGCGGTTGAAATGCTACCATGTTTGGTGTTTGCTGGGGACTACTTTACTTTGTATAAAAAAGTCCATTATTGCATGGTTGGTGACACTTGGGCTTTCATTTATTTCTGAACAGCATGAGGTAGAAATAAATAAAATTATATCCACAACTACATCAAAGACAGAAACACCAACTGTGTCTAAGTCTCTGAGTTCTTCTCTGGATGACACTGAAGTTAAGAAGGTGATGGAAGAATGTAAGAGGCTGCAAGGTGAAGTTCAAAGGCTACGGGAGGAGAACAAGCAATTCAAGGTAATCTTAGTTTATTTTCTGATTATCTGCAGAGAGCAGGGACATTTTCACTGGTTCTTGGATAGGGGAGCTAATGAACCCCTGAATGCATAGGTGCTTTTTGTTTTTGGTATTTGCCCATTTTTCCTTCACCAGAAGAAATTTCCATAGGTTTCATCAGATTCTCATAAAGGTCATTGACTCCCCCTAAACTAAGAACCACTGTCCCTTGGGCAGAAGTTTCACAACTATTTAAACTCTTGTCACCTTAAAAAAAAAAAAATACCCGCCCACCCTCCATTAATGTAACTTGAAAATAAATTTTGAGACTCAAAGAGCAGTTTTTATTTTGAGTATGCATTTTCAAATCCCACTTTATCTCCATTCACATAGGTGAAAATCTCTCTCTCTCTTTTTTTGTTAAGAGAGTAGGTACTGGCTTTACAGTCTGTTTGAACAGGAGTATAGTTCTGATATTGGAAGACTCTAAGTAGGTCTGGGCATTTGTGGCTCATCCAACTGTTGATGTGGTGATGAGATTGGAAATGGGATACTGTCACAGTAGATGGGCACTGGAGATTGTGGAAGGAGGAGGCCAGGTCTCCAGCTCGTTGATGAGGCAGTTGGCACTGGCACTGGCAGAGCGGATTGTACTGTTGATGAAAGAAGGCAGGTGCGTTTCTTTTGGCTGTGAGGTCTGTAGGGTTGTGGAGGTGACTGTAATTCAGTTTGAACTATCTCTGAATCTGTGCTTGTCACAGCATCTTTTAGGCCTCCATTTGCTAAATGCCTCAAAGTCCCCTTCCAGCATTACAATTTAGAGTTTGTCTGTATTAGATGTGGTATTGAATATAACATTTTTGGATATCAGATTATAAAACTTTTGTTGCAGCTTAAATGTTTAGGCCTATCTGTTCTCTTTTTCTTGATCATGCTACTTAAACACATACACTCTTTAACGACTCTAGCACCAGATACACATAATGCATTCATATAAGCTAAGTTTTCCTTCTCTTTTATGCTGTCAACAAGGTGGATATAGGAGAACTGACAGAATTTGGGGAAATGTCATCATCATCTTCCTTTGCAGTAATCTTGATTTGCCTCATTCATTAAAACTTCTTTAATATGGAGTACATTGTGAAGCTGATGCTTTACTTTTTGGCTAAAAATCTAAGCCATGCCTCAGGCTTCTCTTAGAGTGTTATTTCTCTTCAGAAACAGTTCTGTGCCACTTAAAATGATAAATAGGTAGAAATAGCTTCTATATAAAGCCAATAAAATAAAAGCTGTAGTTTGCTGTGCCCATTTTTTGAAGTTAATCGAACAACACCATTAATTTGTCACTGTGCTATAATATTGGCCATGCCTCATGAGCAGAATGTCTTTAAAATATTATCAGATTAATCTTGACATTAGGAGATTCTTTATCCTGCCAAACACTGATTTCTTGTTTTGTGTTGGTTCATTCTTTCACTTGGCCAACACACTTTACTGAGGGTCTAGTGTGTACCTGGCATTGTGGATTCAAACACAAGCAGTCACTGCCCTTGAGGAGCTCTGTTGATGAGGGAGCAGGGAGAGACCCAGCCACAGACGATTACAACCCAGTGTGATACGTGTACCACAGAGACAGCAACACATTGTAGGGAAAGTCAGCTTCCTGGGCCCATCTGCTGGTGACTTCAGGTTTCCAGATACTCGGGCGACTGGGAGAGATTTGAAGGAAAAGAAGAAAAGAATGTACAACTGGTATGTGGGGGCTGAGGGATGATTAGATGGAGTAATTAGCAAGAGATCTGGCTCAGCAGATGAGTTTGGGCCAGCCTTGATGCATGTCCCTCTTCAAGGATGTGGGCTTGGCCTTGAGAGCATGGAAATGGCATTGTAGATCTACACAATAACCTGCAGCTTCTTAAGGCAGCGTGAAGCAATTAAGGCAGAGACAGTGGAGATGAAGGAAGAATCTGCATTTGTGTTCCTTACACAACACATAGCCATGTGTGGTCAAGTGTCTTTGTAAGAAAGAATGTTGCTTCTTTAGTGAGAAATCCATGCATTAAGTAGAAATTATGTGGAATGAGTATATCAGTGTCAGTCACATTTTAATATTCCAGATATATTTTGATCCAGTAGTCTGCATGTATCTCATCAAGTACCAACTATGTATGGAGCTCAGGTGTCCCACTTTGTAGAGTCTTGTGGTTTGTGTATTTGTGCTTTGGGAAATGCCTGTGATTTCAAAAGTTGATGACGACTTTATTAGGGAGGTTTGTTTATTAGGGTTAGGAAGGACACAGGAGTTGGGCTCGGATGAAGAGGAATGGCCAGGAGACATAGCCAGAAAGATGGATGGGCTGAGGGTTCCCAGGGCCCAGCTGACCCGCTTGAGAGCTTTTTTCTGTAAATCATGGGGAATCAAGGAGTGCCCTGCTTAGGTTTATGTAATTAGGAGGTAACTAGCAGCATTGTGTGAGATGGACAAAAGAAGAGAAAGGCTTCTGGCAGTATTTTCTCAGCAGCTTCAAGCCATTCCCTTCCTCTTGTAGACTTCAGTCACTCCATTTGCAAAGTGAGGTTGGACTGTATCATGTTGTCCATATCTGGGCATAAACACCCTGCTAAGCGGTATAGTGAACCTCCCCCCTTTCTCATGCTGTGCTGTCTTTGAAATGTGCGCTTACTCCTTCCTGTAGGAGGAAGATGGCCTTCGGATGAGGAAGATGGCGCAGAGCAACAGCCCCATTTCGGCATTAGCTGCAGCTGGGAAGGAAGAGGGCCTCAGCACCCGGCTACTCGCTCTGGTGGTTTTGTTCTTTATCGTTGGCGTGATTATTGGGAAGATTGCCTTGTAGAGGCAGCATGCAAAGGATGGTAAATCAGATTGACGGATCCACCATATCATGGGATTTAAATTTATCATAACCATGTGTAAAAAGAAATTAATGTATGATGACATCTCACAGGTCTTGCCTTTAAATTCCCCTCCCTGCACACACACACACAAGTACACACACGCAAATATAATATAACAATCTTTTAGAACGTTAATAATGTATAGTAAATGAATGGAGAAAAGAATGATCTTTATTAATGATGAGGGAAACCATGATTGATGCCACAATGGCATATTGTAAATGTCATTTTAAACATGGGTAGGCCTTGGTACATGTTGCTGGATTACCTCTCTCAAAACAGGACACTCTTCCTCGCCTGTTGGTGCTGGCCTGTGGGCACTGAGCCCAGTGTGGCAGGGAGCACAGTCAGCTCCCCGCAGCAGTCCCTGCCTGCCCACTCCCAGCCCAGGCTGCTCCCATGTCTTCAGTTTGTCCGAGCCATCAGCTCCTTGAGGCTCATGAACAGAGTCAGAAGTTGAAAAGAACTGCACGGTGGCAGCATCAGATGTGCTCATCATGAATGAAAGACATGTGTTGACTGATTGGCCCAGCACTTTGGAAAGACGTCAATGCCTTGTTCTCTTAAAGGGACCAAACTGAATTCCTGTTGGTTCATGTAGTGAAGTTGGACTGTTATTCAGAGATGTTTAATGCATATTTAACTTATTTAATGTATTTCATCTCCTGTTTTCTTATTGTCACAAGAGTACAGTTAATGCTGTGTGCTGCCTGATGCCAGAGGGCGTGGGTTCCTCTGTCTCTGGAGGTTCTGGGCATGTGGAGGTGGGGTTGACTGGGATGTTGGAGAAGAGCTGCCAGGAAGTGTTTTTTTTATGTCACTAAATAACAGCTGTCATAGGGAGGGAAACTCTTAGTAGTGGCAGTCAACTCTAGGTTACCCTTTTTAATGCAGAAGAGTAGTCAGTCATCTAGATTGTTCTTTTCACCACCTCTCAACCACCTTCATACTTGTAGCACACAGGCCCAAGTTTGATCCTGACCCCTTGGGGACCTGGCTTGGAGTCAGTATGAATGAATTAGGCTGCAGAAGGTTAGGAGAGAGGGCACCAGCAGCTGGGGTGGGGAGTGGGTGGTAGGAGAGACTCTTCAACTAGTCCATCTATCTAGTAGTCATTGAGAGTTTGACTGTGGATTTATTTTACACCATAAAAGACCAATCCAATTCTGTTCGACTATGTAGCATCTTGAAAAGAAAAAAAAATTAAATAAAGCCCCAAAATTAAGCATTCTTTTGTCATTTTGTTATATTTGCTTTATGGGGGGATATTATTTTATTATCATCTGTATTATTTTGCCATTAGAAGGTTGATTTTAAAATGAGCCCTATCAATGAGAAATATATATGTTTAATGACTTAACTATACATACATATATATATATGTTTTTTTAAATTGGCTTCAACTGAGTATGAAAAGTAAAACTGCTGAAAATCTAAGCACCTGGTCACCTTTGGCCTTCCATTGCTTTGGCCTTCAGTAAAAAATAGCCTCTTCTCTGGATCAGGGAAGCATGCACAGAGACTAGTGACAGGTGCACAGGTTTGAGGACATATTCATCAGAAGGAAGACAGTGCTGAGAAGTCACATACCCTGAGCCACATTGCCCCTGAGCCTGGCCCTGGCAAGCTGGGTCAGGGGCCTCGAGACTGGTGAAGTGGAAGTCTGTGCTTGGTCTGAGTAAGTAACTTCCTGTCTTCACAAAAAAAAGTTAACTGTAAATTCCAGGTACTTGTAGGCAATGGTGAGGAGACCTGGGTCTTCCCTGAGCACCTGTAACTCGGATTGCGTTGGGAGTCCATCCCACTGTGAATGAGTCTCCTGGGTCTTTTCCGAGTGGCTTGGGCACTTAGGAAAGGCAGTGAGAAGACAGAGCTGTAAGGCATGTGCCTTCTGCCCCCGAGTTTTCTCTAAGTGGACTGACATTTGCTAATTGTAGGCACTGCAGCCAGTCCTTCATTCTCAGTCTTTCTGTAGAGCCCAGTCCCTCAGGGCTTTGAAAGGAGAGGGATTAGAGGGTCTCAGCGAATAGGGGAACAGCACTGTCTTTTGACCCTAGACGGGACTGTGTTTCAATGAGACTTCACCTGGAAGCAGCCTGCTTGTGGGATTTGACTTGTCTGTCTGCCACAGTCCTTAGGGGAAACCACTGTGTTTCAGGCCTTTGAAGGTAGGTTGGTGTCTGTGTCCATCTCAGAGGAGGCACTCAGCTTCTCAGGATACAGCCATTTTGGTTGCAACTGAGAGTCAAATGTTACAATCCAGAGTTGTCTCTTCCTCCTCTTTCATCATCCTCTGAAGGCCTTTTCCCTTCTGGAGGTCAGGACTTGGTGGACACATGTTAGTCTGTGGGGCTTTTTTGACTGAGTGGAAGAAGGAGACCCTCCAGGGAGAGAAGCAGCAAGGTGCTTGAAAGGTTAGTTGTTAAAGTCATCCTGGTCAGGAAGAGAAAGAATTGGAGCCGGCACTGCTCCCTTGAGAATGTGGTGCACATTTAGGGAGCTTTTCTAGAATGACAGATGGAAAAACAGAGAAAGGCAAAGAGAAGCTGAGTGTGGGGCCCCGTCACAATGGTTTGCTCTGCCCTGAGGGTAAGACTCTGATCCTGGGGAATCCGCAAGTATGGGCAGAGCGAGGCTGGGGTTGGGGTGCTGACTAGGAAGTGAGCCTGGCTGAGCCACAGACTGGCTGTCCTCAGATTTGCCCCCAAGGCCACTGGCTCCACAGCACCTTTGAGAGGGCTGCCTGTCTTCAGAGAGGCCAGTCACAGGGCTTGCAAATCCAGAAGAGATGGAAGCAATAGCAGTCCTGTAAATTTTTATTGATTGAATTTTTAAATGGATAATTTAAGCTCCCTTGGCATGATAAAAGATGCCACTTAAAGACATCAGGCTGTATTTGTAGGTGTGAGGAACTGGCTTTTTTTCTCCTCCTAGTTTGCATGTTTTCCCTCTCTAGTCTTCAAAACTGCTGGCACCAGCAGTAATAAACACTGATAAAAATCAAAATTGATTTTTACCAGTGGACAGTTTATACCTAGAGAAACGACTTATGCCTACCTAATACAGAAGGGGAAAAAATGAAGAACCTTCAGTGATCCGTGAAAACCTAAACGTTTTCAAACAAATCCCAGGAACAGAATTGCTATCGGTAGATATCAGTACCTAGCTTACAGGCTGTGTTGAGTCAGATATAACTGAATGCAGTGAGAGCCCAGAGCTAAATAGCCTTTCGAATTAATCTGAAAACAAGCTCTGTGTGTGCATGCGTGCGTGTGTACGTGTAGCATATGTACCATATGTATGTAACTTGACAGTTGTCAAATGGTGCCTCTATTTTTTGCCCACAAATCTTTGTATTTGCAAACTTAGAATCCGTGCCAAAATGCAGTGCCATTTGTCATTTTTAGCTCTTTCTCTAAAGAACTGGCCCATGTACACATTTCTGGTTATGGTTTGTGAAATTCTTAGTTTAAAAAGATACCTCTACGTATATCAAGAGATACCAATCTTGGACTTCCATGTGTCGCTTTGAACCTTTGAGTGCCACGTACCCTTCTTGGCCTCTTTGGTGTAGAGGCCACTGCTTCCCCCTGCTGGCGATGGCAGTTCACTGAATGGCGTCTGGCTGGGCTTCCCGCTGTTTAGCCTGTGCTACCTGGGGGAGGGGGAGAGCTAAGGAAAAGGGTGCGATGAGTCTGAAGTGGGTACTGTGAGGATCCCTGGCCTAATTAAGCTCGGGTCCATGTTTGCTGTCCTGAGAACGAGTGTTCTCAAAGGTGGGCGGGAATGGAATCTCATTGAGAGTCCTCTGTGAAGCGTAGACGGATGGCTCCCTTTCGCAGCACACAGATCCTGCAAGGCCAGCCTCACTCTTCTGGAACACAGAGGGTGGCCAAGACCACGTGTCCCCTCCATGAGCTGGGTCCCTCAGGGATACTGTGGCCTGAATGGATTTGGAGATGGCTGTTCCTCTTCCTCAGAGCTGCTCTGATAGGAACATTTTAGAGGAGGTTGCTGTCCAGCGCCACTCCCTGGCTATGCAGAGCATTGTCTGTACGTTTGTCCGCTCCTTAGGACAGCTGGGGCCTGGAGATGGTGACTCTGTTTTGCACATGAAAAAATGAAGGCCCGGGAAGTGACATTGGCAGCTTGTTTAGAACAAACTAAATCAATCTCTGTGGAGGCTGTATCCTAAGACACCATTTCTATGCGGAAAGTCGCTCCTGGGAACCAAGTGGATGGCCCCTCACTGCCCTCAGCTGCCCTGACATCTGAACATCTTTTGTGCATCTCCACACCTTATCCAGTCATTGTCAAGCTAAAGTAGGTAGCATGAGGACTATAGCTCAAATGTTTTTTCTTTTGGAAACAAAACCCACTCTAGACAGTGGAGGAATGTGCACTTTCCATTTTCTTACAGCCTGCAGACCTCTGCCCAATGCTCCCGGGGAATGAATTTGAGGGTTTCAGAAAGAAATGACAAGCCTGTCCCAGCCGGGCAATGATTTCTTTGGAGGCTTTATGTAACTTGCACATCAGATGTGGACGAGGGCAGTTCCTTAGGACTGATGTTGCAGAAGTGGCCTGCCGAGGCTCGAAAAGCCCGAGCTCCTGTGTTCAAGGCCTCTCCTGGGAAACAGTGAAGGGGACGAGTCACAGGAGACTCTGAGAAGAAACATCCACCAAGAGGCAGCTTAGAGGCTGTGAGCACAGAGCTGCGGCGAGATCCAGCCCTCTCCCTTCAGCCTCTGAATCCCATTAGTCGCACACTTAGCCCACGAGCCTCAGTCACCAGGAACATGAGTTGGGGCATATGAGGTCACCCACTTCGTGCTGAGGGACCCAGGCCTCCTTCCCTGGGGGTGTATCTGTATCTGCAGCACTGCACAATAGAGGCTTCATTTTAATTTATTTTCATTAGAGGCATTTTGAAAAATTTAAAAGACAACCTCACATCAACAGTTATGTATAATAGTTAAAGGGAAACCGGCAGAAGTGGGTAAGAGCTTGCCTTGGTGAATTATAATTACTTGAGATTTCTTTTCTTAATGGAATTAATTCTTAATGGAATTAATTCATTAGATAATGTCTGCATCAAATCTGTAGAAAAGGAAGAAAAATCTAGCAACAAAAACCTAGCTATTATCTAACTTGCCATAAATATTTGCATTTATGATACTTTGGAATCCATGATATGGATTGCTTTGATTAAAACATGTCAGTTGAATGAAACGCTACTGGGGGGAATTGTTTTTTGCTGCTAGATAAATGCTGATGTTTATTTTTAAACCAGGAAACATTGATCCTGTAACAATGGCCTATTACAATTGCTTTATTACAGCGCAGGGCTGATATGATCATTTGGCTAACGGGTGTGGGTGTGAGATGATGCTGGCTCACTGTCCTCTCGCCCACTCGAATTCTGATATGCCTCCTGCCGGGGGAGTGGTGGCCAGGGAGGTGCGTTTCACCGGTGCCCAAAGCCATGTCTGGCCCCACTAGAACAAGCTACTTTTACTTTCTGTTTTCCTTCAGAAAACACCAACTGAGAGAAACAAGCCAGATAGCTGAACACAATTTCATTAAAGTTAAATGCCAGCAAAAATAGGGAGCTTTTTATGATTTGAGACGATGATGAATTCGTGCACATGTTTCACACATGGACTTGCCGGTTTTCCATGTAATACAAACAAGGTCTGGTTCTTTCTATGAACTGGCTGCCTCATCTTTATTTGATTTTTTCAGAAGTAAATGGATTCAGCTGTTAATCCTTTATTAAAAAATGTGGGGTTTTTCCCCCACTGAATCTTTGACATGAATTCAAAGGTCAGAATTTACTGTCTAATACCGAGACCATGTGTACAAGAACTGTTTTTGCTTCTCATTATTCCCTCCCTCCTTTAGCGAATGTTTAACTTGTACCTTCTAGATGTTAGATACTGGGTGAGTTGCTCAGAGATTAGTCCATGGGAGTGATTTTGTTTTTGTGTTTTTCTTCATATGCCGCCTAAGTAAGGGGATTCAAGCTTATACACAGAGAGAATGCAGAATATACTTGGTTCTTATTTCTGTTGCTGGTTTCCTTTTTAAAGACAATTTATAAACTGCTGCTTTTGGAACTTCTAAGAAACCAGAAGGATGTGTTTCAGTGCTCCCCTCAGCTCTCTGCCTTTGCGAGTGAGGACATCGTTTCACTCATGCATGCTATTCCTTCCCTGCTCTACATCTTT